TTTCTTGCTTAGATTAGAAATTCTCCTGAATTCACTAAAATCTTCTCTAGAAATTTTTTTTGTTATATCTTTAAACTATGCTTAGCTACAATGATTAGTGATTAGCTCTAAAAGATATAAAAAGGATATAAATTTCTCCAAGTTAATATTAGACCTGCATCATCTACTTCTTAGACCCAGACTCCCTTTTTCTCTAAATTCTCTCTTGTAATATTATAGGATTCTTTAGAAATAAGAATCTAAGGATAGCCTATTTTATTCTTTCTAATAAAATATATATTTTATCCATAAACTATTGTCTGCCCAAACTGTCACAGATAGAAAGATATAATTTCTAGTTGTAGTAGAAATTATACTTACTTGTTAGACATTGCTATAAACTTGTGAAAGATCTTTGTAGCCATGTCATAGTTATAGTACTGCTATTAAGAAGGCCACAGTACTGTAATAGTAACAAATGTAAATAGAGGAACAGCATCTAGGAATTCAGATACTGAAAAAAAAAAAGATTCTAGAAAACAAAATAAAATTGCGGAGATATTAGATGAATTGATAGAAGATTATTTAGAAGAACTGAAGCTTTATAATAACTGAATAGTCAATTTTAAAAAAAAAGAGAAGAGCAATAAGCACTTCAAAGAAAAAATATAGAAGAAAGTTTAATTCAACAACTTAGACAAGAAAATTTACACTTTTTAATACAAGATGATAGAAAAAAAGATAAGAAGAATGTAGAAATCTCAACAAATACAGAGGTATTTGATATGCAGATAGAGGATTACATGCTAAAATTAGAGCAAGATAAAGTATGAATCCAAACTTGAAACAAAAAAGTTTAAAGCAAAGATCGCAACAAAAAAAGAAAAGAATAGAAAATTCTTTTAGCAAATCAAAGAATTATATATATATATTGTGAAATCAGACCAAGAGGAGAAGAGAAATATCAAAGTGATGATTTCTAAAGAAGAAGAGAAAAGAGGATATAATGAGGATAAAGTGAAGAATCCTATAGACAAAGAAGAAGCTTTATCTAACAATTACTTAGAAGAATATATAGAGGAATTATATCAATACAAGAAGTGGATTACAGGTCTTAGAGAGAAAAAAGTGAAACAAGAGAAACTTCAAAGAAGAGAAAGAAGAGAAAACCTTGAGTATCTTTATAAAGAATTAACAAGAAATTACTTTTAACTACAAGACATATTAGGGAAGAGAATTATAGATAGTAAAAAAAAAGAAGCTAACCAAATAGAAGACAGTTTAAAGATATAACAAAAAAAATTTCTAGAGAAGATTTTAGTGAATTCAGGAGAATTTCTAATCTAAGCAAGAAATAAGAAAACTAAAACAAATTAGAAAAACAAAAAGAAAAAAATAAAGAAAAAAACTCTATTACAGAGTAAAGAACCATTAACAACTAATGAAGAAGATAAAGAAGAAGAAAAAAGAAGCATTAAAGAGTTAAGAGTCAAGTTATCTGCAGAAAAACATAAAGTAAAATAGAAAGAGAAAAGAAAGAATATTAGCTTAGAAATAGATAGTTTAGTATTTTTATGAAAGAAAGGTATTTTAGATAGCCAAATAGAATTAGAATTAAATAGATTAGAATTAGACAATAGTATAGCAGAAGAGTATTCAGGTAAACTTGACACAACAAAACTAGATCAAAATCTTTTTAAGGTCTACAAGACTTCTAAGACAACTTGGTAAAAACTTTCTAGACAAAAACTATAAAACTCTACCTAGTGCAACAGACTGCTTTTGGGCATTCATAGAGACAGTTGAGAAATATTAGGCCTAAATATTAAGCTCAATATTAAGCAACTAGTTTTATATAATAATTTTTAAAAAAAAAAAAAAAAAAATAGTAATTTAATTTTCTAATTTTTTTTTTATATAAAAACCTCTTATTCAATAATAAAAAAATTTTAAACATATCTTTGCTAAATATACAACCCCAAATAGTGCTCTACTAATTTATATTTTAAAATTAACAAGTATTTTTTACAATTATTGTTATTTATATAACTTAAAATTGCTTTATAAAACAAGTTAACTTTTTCAAACTTTTTAAAATTAAGCAATTGATCTACATTAATATCATAGTATTGCCTCTAAAAAAGAATTTACTATAGCACAATGCTTAAACAATTTTAATATAACACTAATTATTAAACAATAGTAAAAATTAGTGTTGTCACAAAACAGTTGTGAACAGTAAGTTTAAATACTTTGAACAATTTTGAACAATTAAATAAATTAAAATTACTCAAAAATTTATTAATAACCTATATTAATTTCTAAATAAAATATGTTTAGCATCTAAAAAAATATATAATAATATATTTTTTAAACAAATGTATTAATTATTAAAGCTTGAACACTTTTAAACACTTGGATACTTGGATATTGAACAGTCAAAACGTATATCACTAATAAAAATGTGTTATTTGCTAAAATATCGTGACTGATCAGGTGAAATTCTATTGGTCCGAATGTAATACCAATCTTGTGTAACCGAAAATTTTTGGTGGTAGTTGTTGCAAGTTACCATCAATCGCGCCATGGAAGTTGTAAAAATGTTATTACGTCATATAAAATTGGACCGGGTTCAAAACTAATTACCCTTGCCATGACCGTACCCAAAATCAACATCCCCGACAAAAATTACAAGTATTCACGCATCACAGATGATTACGTTGTTGATGCATATTCATTAAAATAGTATTTAATCCTAATTAATCTAGAACTGCATCAAAAAAAGTAATCTAAATAACGCGGATCTAGTAGTGTGAAATAATGAATTAAAATTATTATATTCACAATAGCGATAGAATTTTTATTCAATCTAATAATGAATTCCTAAATTTATTTGATTTCTACCCAAACTTCATACATTATTTCATTTAATTTTCCTTTTCCCTTTTGATTTTTATCATCCTCGTACTTCTTCAATAAGGATTTTACTAATTCTTGCCCAAGGGAGAATGCTAAAGGTGGCGGTACAGCATTCCCTATTTGCCTATGCATATCCTTGACATCATCTCGATCACTTAAAAAGACAAATTTGTCAGGAAAACCTTGGGCACGAGCACATTCACGGACGGTTATGATTCGTCGTTGGTTTGGGTGGATCACCGTCTTAAAATTTCAAATTGCTTAAGTTTTCAATTTATAAGATATTTCATGACAAATATAAATAACACGTAATACGTACACCAGTTTTACCCATAGGGTTAATATCGGTCAAAGCAGTAAGAAAATGGCCATTAAAATCTAAACGACCAAACAAACCCTTCCATCCATTGTGACGACTTGCTGCCGAATTTGGATCGCTCAAGCACCACGGTTTTAGTTTTTCGGGTAAATCTTAACATTCATGTATTAATTCATTTAAATATAATATGAAAACCGTATTTATAAATGGAAATTTAACATATACTTACTGCTATGATCCGTGCCGGGAAACATTGGTACACGGATTATACGTTCTACAGTCAATTGGTTAAATGCGCGTGTTACATGATTATGTAGATATTCGGAACCTTTACGACATTGGCGTTGATACTCCGAAAGTGGCCCTGATTCATATTTGGTGACCATATCTCCTACCCATCCTCTTTCTGGGACTATGATTTGTTTGAAAGGTCGTTTTTCATTTTTGTCCTCTTCAGTAGCGGGATAAACCGAATGAGGATTGACGAATTCGAATTCCGGCAAATCATTTATGGCATCACATACAGATATTGCAGGTAATGGTGCGTGGCCATTTGTGCGTTTACTATATGAAAATGAAGTTCCATTTGGTAACAAAATACTTATTGATCCTTGTTTACTGAAACAAGTTGTGGGTTGTGGAAAATCCGGGAGATGTAATCCTTGTTTCGCACCCCATATGAATAGACGCCGACGACTTTGAGGAACCCCATGATGACCTGCTTGCTGGACACCAAATCGTGTTTGGTATCCCATTGCAGTCAGTGAACGCAATATAAATTTTATTACACCCATTTTTATACCCCCTTTTATCTTAATTCCATCCTGTTCTCCACCTAGTCGGAAACAAAGCATTCCACGTACATTTTCTAAAAGAAAATATTGAGGTTTATAAAAATCAACATAACTCAAGGATGTTGCTACTAGACTGTTTTTAATATCATCGGCTTTTTGATAACGATTTACTCCGCTGAATCCTTGACAAGGAGGTCCGCAGTATATAAAATCTACATCACCAGGCGCTGGCATACTTTGAACCTTGCGACCTAAAAAGTCTTTCAGATCGCTAAGTGTTTCTTGACGACCGTGTTCTGCAATTGCCCTTTCCAACAGAAGGTTGGCGCATTGATTATATACTATAGCATTTGGATTATTTTTTTCAAAAGTCATTGCTGCACTAGAATCAAATTCAATAGCCCATTTTGTATCGACCACGCCGGTCTGATCCATACCCACAGTTATACCGCCACAGCCAGAAAATATATCCATAGCACGAAGTTTTTGATTGTTTGTTTTTATATGGTCATAAAATTCATCAGATAGGTTTTGATTTTTTTGTCGTTTTTCAAAACAAATTAGACACTTTGAAATATCATTCGCTTCAAACAAGCACATCTCTTCCAACTTCGATGATCGTTTTGGAGCGATTAAATCCACATAATAAGTATCTTTTTCATCCTTATACGCTTCTAGGTCGTTTATATTGTCTTTATGATCAACCCAACACACACCCTCTAAACGATCTACGCGTTCTGTAACAGTCTCTCTTGTAAAGAAAAGACGGCGACAATCCTTAATCGTTTTAGGTATATCGATAACATCTCTATATGATGCCGATGTATTAATTGATATTTTTTCCGTAGTAAGATCATCATACCGACCTAATAGACGCAACACTACAATAATCTTGGTCCCACCTACTGATGTTAATGACATCATCCCATCTACTGACGTTAGCGACAATGATTCACCTTTATTCAGGATTTCGATTATTTGACCAATAGTATAAGGGTCTTCTTTTGTATCCGGGATAATATATACAAAATCATTAAGATGATATTCAATTCCCTTGCATTCAAAGCATTCTCGTTTATTTTCATCCCGTGAGATCCATCTAAGACATTTCTCTTTTTCTTTTTCCGCGAATTTATTTTCACATGAGTAACATAGTTCATTGTCACCACAGTAAATAAACTCTTTAGTAGGATCTTCATGTGAATATACATCCTCAAAGGATGCATAAGTTTCATCATACCAAAATCGATAAAAATAGAAGCTAGAATCATCAAAGGAGAAATTCTCGCGTTCTTCATAATGGAGCCTCTTAACATTTACTTTGCCCATAATGGTATCAAGATGGTTATCATCACAATTGTCTAAGAGAAAAAGTTCACGTTCCCCCGCAAGTTCATCTAGAATGGTATCTCTCCCATGACTGAAAAATCTGGAATGAAACATCTTGCCTTCTTTAGGGTCGTCATACATATACATAACTTTGGCAAACCAAGGCTTATCCAATTTATCATTTCTCACATATACAACATCGCCAACGTTAATAATATCGTCATCAACTTTTGCTGAACGGTAGTACGAAATATTATTATCAAGCGCAATTACCTTTCCATTCCATTCGACATGATGAGTAACACGCTTTATAATTATTTCGTCTTCTAATGAATTTCTTTTTTGTAAATTTTCGGTTAGAATCCCTTCGTTATTAG